ATCCTGGAGCCAGACACTCCCCTGAGTCCCAAGGAAGAAGAATGTAGCAGCGACGGACATGACTGGGTGACAGTCAGGCGGGCAGGCAAGCGTTCCCGAAAGAGAGGGGCTAAAGAATCCTGTCTGACAGGTATGAAATATTGGCAACCTGTGTGGACAAGGAAATCTGCGAGGAAGACGGGCAAACTGACCCCAACACCCCTGTGCAGGAGGTTAAAAATGTAATTCTTATTGGGGATGAGACAGTCGGGAGGACTGATAGTTTTCTGTAGCCGTAGCAGGGAGACGAGAAGACACTGTTGTCTTCCTGGGGCCAGGGTGAAGGATGTCACCGCCGGGCTGGAGATAAATTTGAGGCATGAGGGAGAGGATCCAATCGTAATGGTACACATAGGGACCAATGACATTGGTAGGACCAGCAGGGATGAGTTAAGGAGCGAGTTCCGGGAATTGGGAATTAAACTAAGGAATAGAACTTCCAAAGTGATGATATCGGGACTGTTACCTGAGCCAGGAGCTAATTGGTACAGGCAAAAGAAGATCATAGATCTGAATGCCGGGCTAAAAGAGTGGTGCGGAGAGCAGGAATTCCAATTCATGGGCCACTGGCACGAGTATTGGGGAAGATGGGAGCTTTTCCAAAGGAATGGACTCCACCTAAATAGGACTGGGACAAATGTCCTGGCTACGCGAATAAATAGGGAGGTAGAAAGGGCTTTAAACTACTAAGGGGGGGGGGGGGGAGGTAAAAACATAGTAAAGTATAGTCCACCACAGTTAAACTTGAGATCAACAAAAGCAAGAGAGCAGATTAACAAGGGAGAAGAGCAAAGTGTGTCAAGCCGGGAAAGGAAGTACAGTGATAGAGTGCTGGTGAATAGGGTTAATAGCCGGAAGTCAGAATTAAAGGCGCTATATCTGAATGCACGAAGCATTCGTAACAAGATAGATGAATTAGTTGCACAAATAGAGACAAACCGGTATGATCTAGTAGCCATCACCGAGACATGGTTACAGGGTGATCAGGGATGGGAACTGAATATTCCCGGCTACGTGGTATATAGGAAAGATAGGCGATGTGGTAAACGAGGAGGGGGAGTGGCCCTGCTAATAAAGGATGGGATAAAAACAGTAGAGAGGAAAGATTTTAAATCTGAAAAGCAAGATGTAGAGTCAGTATGGGTAGAGATACGTAACTTCAAGGGGCAGAAAACTATAGTGGGAGTAGTTTATAGACCCCCAAACAGTGGTCAAAGTATCGCTCAAGGTATAAATCAAGAGATTAGTGGAGCATGTAGCAAAGGAAAGACACTAATTGTGGGTGATTTTAACCTGCACATAGACTGGGACAACCAAATTGGGAAAGGTAACATAGAAGAGGAGTTTATAGAATGTATTAGAGATAATTTTCTAGATCAATATGCTGAGGAGCCGACCAGGGAACAAGCCATATTAGACCTTGTTTTGTGTAATGAAACAGGGCTGATCAGCAAACTGGAACTTAAGGCTCCTCTCGGGCAAAGCGATCATAATATGATGGAATTTAGCGTTAAGTTAGAGAGGGAAGTAGTTAAGTCTGAAGCAAAAGTCTTCAATTTAAATCGAGCCAACTTTGCTGGTATGAGAGAGGATTTAGCCAGAATAAACTGGGAGACTAAACTTAAAGATTTGACGGTAGACCAGCAATGGCAGACATTCAAGGAGATAGTGCAAAATTCCCAACGAGCACATATTCCTTTGAGGAATAAGAATGCCACGGGAAAGGTGGTGCAGCCATGGCTAACTAGAGCAGTTAGGGAAAGTATCAAATCAAAAGAAAAAGCCTATAAAACAGCGAAGATGAGTAGTAAACCCGAGGATTGGGAGAACTTTAGGGAACAACAGAGGAGGACCAAAAAATTGATCAAGAGGGAGAAAATAGATTACGAGGGCAAACTAGCAAAGAACATAAAAACAGACTCCAAGAGTTTTTACAAATATATAAAGAGGAAAAGGCTAGCGAGGGTGAATGTGGGTCCATTACAGGCAGAGACCGGAGGAATTATAATAGGGGACAAAGACATGGCAGAGTCATTAAACAAGTATTTTTCTACAGTCTTCACCGTAGAAGACACTGGAAACATACCAAAAATAGAGGACCAAGAAGACAATGTTAGCGAGCAACTTAGGGAGATTAACATTAGTAAAGAGATGGTTCTAGGTAAATTGTCGGGTCTTAAAACCGATAAATCCCCTGGACCGGATGGCCTGCATCCGAGAGTTTTAAAGGAGGTGGCTACTGAGATAGTGGATGGCATGTCTATAATCTTCCAAAAGTCTGTGGATACTGGAAAAGTTCCCATTGATTGGAAGATTGCAAACGTAACTCCACTATTTAAGAAGGGTGGGAGAGAAAATAGGGAAAACTATAGACCAGTTAGTTTGACGTCAGTTGTAGGGAAAATTCTTGAGTCCTTAATAAAAGACGTAGTTATGGGATACCTGGAAGACCATAAAAAGATTAGGCAGAGTCAACATGGCTTTAAAAAAGGGAAGTCATGCTTGACTAACCTTTTAGAATTTTTTGAGGATGTATCCAGCAGGTTGGATAAGGGGGAACCAGTAGATGTGGTATATTTGGATTTTAGGAAGGCATTTGACAAGGTGCCACACAAAAGGCTGTTACTCAAGATCAAGGCCCACGGGATTAATGGGAAAATATTAACATGGATAGGAGAGTGGCTATCGGGTAGAAAGCAGAGAGTAGTGATAAACGGATCATTCTCGAATTGGCAGGATGTAACTAGTGGAGTGCCACAAGGATCAGTGCCTCGGCCTCAGCTATTTACCATTTACATCAATGATCTGGACGAGGACATTGAATGTAATGTGTCTAAATTCGCGGATGATACTAAACTCGGTAGCAGAGTGAGCTCTCAGGATGATGCAAAAAGATTGCAACAAGATATAGATAGGTGAGGGGAGTGGGCAAGTAGGTGGCAGATGGAATTCAATGTTAGCAAGTGTGAAATTATTCACCTCGGTAGCAAGAATAAAAGAACAGATTATTTTCTGGAAGGGGAGAAGTTAGATAGTGTTAGTATTCAAAGGGATTTGGGTGTCCTTGTACACCAGTCCCAAAAAGTTAGTTTGCAGGTGCAGCAGCAACTAAGAAGGCGAACGGCATGTTAGCGTTCATTTCGAAAGGTTTAGAATATAAGAGTAGGGAAGTCTTGCTGCAACTGTGTAGGGCTTTGGTGAGACCGCACCAAGAGTATTGTGTGCAGTTTTGGTCTCCTTATTTAAAAAAGGACATACTTGCCCTCGAGGGGGTGTAGCGTAGATTCACTCGGTTAGTGCCTGGGATGAGGGGACTGACCTATGAGGATAGGCTGAATAAACTGGGGCTGTATTCTCTAGAGTACAGAAGAATTGGGGGAGATCTTATTGAAAGTTATAAGATTCTTAAAGGGCTGATAAAGTAGACACTGAGGGTCTGTTTCCCCCGGGAGGAGAATCTATAACCAGGGGTCACAGTCTGAAAATTAAGGGTCAGCCTTTTAGAACAGAGTTGAGGAAACATTGCTTCACTCAGAGGGTAGTGAACTTATGGAATTCACTACCCCAGAAGGCTGTAGATGCTCAGTCCTTGAACATTTTCAAGGCTGAGACTGATAGATTCTTTAAAAATAGAGGGATTAGGGGATATGGGGATAGGGCAGGTAATCAGAGTTAGGTGAGAAGATCAGCCATGATCTTATTGAATGGCAGAGCAGGCACGAAGGGCTGAATGGCCTACTCCTGCTCCTAATTCTTATGTTCTTATGACTGATGTGGAGAGATGTTTGTCTGGTCAGAATATCAAGGGATTCAGGGCAAAGGCGGGTCATTGGAGTTGAGGTACAGATCAGCCGTGATCTTACAGAATGGAAGAACAGGCTTGTAGAGCTGAATGGCCTCCTCATGTTCCTATGTATGAATGCATGTTACACAGCACTAATGACTGCACTTTCACCTTCACATGGGATGTCACACCTTCACTGCCTGTTGATGTTTTTCTCACAACTCAACAAGGCGATATTATGTACAGTGTTGTGTAACTTGTACAGTGTTGTGTAACTTGTACAGTGCTGTGTAACTTGTACAGTGTTGTGTATCTTGTACAGTGTTGTGTATCTTGTACAGTGTTGTGTAACTTGTACAGTGTTGTGTAACTTGTACAGTGTTGTGTATTATGTACAGTGTTGTGTATCTTGTACAGTGTTGTGTAACTTGTACAGTGTTGTGTATTATGTGGAGTGTTGTGTAACTTATACAGTGTTGTGTAACTTGTACAGTGTTGTGTACCTGATTTCAGCAATTAACTACTTAGCCTGTAACAAATTCAGGTTTCTGCAAATATCTCATTGATTTCCTGAGAGTAACAGAGATCCCATTCTCTCTGTGTGACTTGGTGTATAATGGTCCAGTTGTGTATGTTGCTTTTGCCACATCAGATGAAACCAGGGATATGCAAAACATGCGTCAGTAGCAGACAGCTGTGCTCAAGGACTGTTTGTCCAACTCTGTGTGAGCATCAAGTGCTGAAGTCAGAAGAGTCCGCGAACAGTGAGGGCAGATGTTAGAAACGAACGAAGCCCCAAAAAATAAAACCTGCCGATAAAATGTCAGGAACAATGGAACTAACGGACTCAAGCAGAGAAGAGCAGATGGAGAGCTCAGAAGATCCTGGATCAGAAGAACAAGCAGATTATGAAGAGATGACAATAGCAGGAGACGGGGTGGAATTGAAAAGGTCCATCACCTTACTGAATGCAGTGGGGCTGATTGTGGGCAGTGTCATTGGATCAGGGATCTTCATTACCCCCAGGAAGGTGGGAAGAGAAGCTGGCTCTGTGGCTCTCTCCCTCATTGTTTGGACTGTTTCTGGTCTGTTCTCCACCCTCGGGGCTCTGTGCTATGCAGAGTTCGGTACCACTATCTCCAGGTCTGGTGGTGACTATATTTATATCCTGGAGGTTTATGGTAAACTACCGGCATTTCTGCAAATTTGGATTGAGATGTTGGTAATCCGACCGGCTTCACAATATGTCATTGCTTTGGTCTTTGCCAGTTACCTTCTGAAGCCCTTCTTCCCCAGCAGTGACATCCCAGACAGCGCTGCCAAGCTCCTAGCCTGCATCTGCTTGAGTAAGTTATTGACCTTAATAATAATAATAATCCTCGCATTTGATACAATGCCCTTATCATGTCTTTGAGACGTTGCAAAGTGCTTCACAGGATACACTGTAAAGTGAATTGACTGTATATTTTGTGGGCAAAACGTGACAGCCAATTGCACACAGCGACATCCCATAAACAGTCATGGATTGAGTGACCAAATTATTATTATTAATTTTTGAAGGGATTATTACCTCCAGAAAAGTGATCCATCCATCGACTAACAACTCTGTTCCTACTTACTGCTGTAAATAGAGGTGTGTGCAGTAAGGAAACTTGCCCAACATTTTGCCCTGCCCGTGAATCAAACCCAGGTCCACTCACTTACGAGATGAGTGCTCCAACCACTGAGCTACAGGACTCCACACATGTTAATTCATTGTACTTGGATTAAAAATTATTTAAAAAATATTACTGCATTCAGATCACTTCTGTAGAAAGGTATTATCAAGATGCAGTTGAGTAATCATCACATAGTGTTGCACAGTTACTGTTGAGGAGTTTTATTTTGGCATGGTATGAGAAAGTTACCCCAATTAACTAAGATGTGCTCAGAATGTTGAGTGGAGAAAGACCAGCCTCTCGTCTTTGGGAATAAGTGTGGAGTCCTATAGACTCCAAAAGATAAAAACACTCGCCTTGCAAGGGAAAGGACCGGGGTTCGATTCCCTGGCAGAGAGAAATGTAGGGCAAGTTTCCTTACTCCACACGGTTCTGTTTACCAGCAGTAAGTAGGAACCTGGTTGTTAGTCGATTGACAGATCGCTTTTCCAGGGATAATAATCCCTCAAAATGAGTAAATAAATAATAATTTGGTCACTAAATCCACGACTGTCTGTGGGACACTGCTGTGTGCAATTGGCTGCTGTGTTTCGTCCACAAAACCTACAATTCACTTTAAGCACTTTGAGACGTTTGGAAGACATGATAATACGCAATACCAAATGCAAGGATTATTATTATTAACATTAATACCGTGTGTTCTCACCAGCACCATATTGCCAGCTCCTCTAATTAAAACATTCTGGGAACCCTGCCACTTTGTAATCCTTTGCTGCATCATACAGCGACTTGAGACGCCCTTCTGATGTGAAAGGCACGTTATATAAATGTATATGTACATATATAAGTGTGTAGTATCTGTTCTTATCAATTTAATATCTGATTTGTCCCTTATCTGGGGACCATTTTCCTTCAGCGACTTCCGTTTTTGTTGTGTTTTTAAATTTAATTTGTTGTTGTTCTTGTTATACACTTCATAGTTTGAATTTCTCACAAAAATCATTTTGTTTATGACCTAATTGTGGACGTTTCTATTGGTACCTAAATTATATTTTGAATTTATGTTTCTTTCAAAAGAAAATGGGGTATGTTTGTGTTTAAAGCATTTTGTCTTATGTTTGGACGGTTGTATGTTATGGGTTAAACATTGGTGTAACATTAGCATCTGCATTCCCTGGGGCAAGAGATGTGTCCACTGGCCCTTTCTTGTCCCAGCAATAGCAGGAATGGCAGGGTAGAGTTGGTCCTTTGTTGGTCATTGAGATCTTTGTTTCTTGCCCTCAGTGTTTCTGACCTTCATCAACTGTAGAAGTGTGAGAGCAGCCACCAGGCTGCAGAATTTCTTCACTGCAACCAAACTCCTGGCCCTCACCATCATCATCATTATGGGATTTGTACAGATTTTCAAAGGTAACTCATTCATGATGTTACAACAGCAAGCGGGCACACCGAGATCAGGCACACCAAGATCAGGCCCACCGAGATCAGGCCCACTGAGATCAGGCCCACCGAGATCAGGCACACTGAGATCAGGCCCACTGAGATCAGGCCCACACTGAGATCAGGCCCACACTGAGATCAGGCACACTGAGATCAGGCCCATTGAGATCAGGTCCACCGAGATCAGGCCCACTGAGATCAGGCCCACACTGAGATCATGCACTGAAGATCAGGCCCACACTGAGATCAGGCACTGAAGATCAGGCCCACACTGAGATCAGGCCCACACTGGAATCAGTCCCACACTCAGATCAGGCACTGAGATCAAGCACACCAAGATCAGGCAATGAGATGGGGCACACCAAGATCAGGCACCGAGATGGGGCACACCAAGAACAGAGATCAGGCACACTGAGATCAGAAATCAGTCACTGAGATGAGGCACTGAGATGAGGCACTGAGATCAGGCCCACACTGAAATCGGGTACTGAGATCAGGTCCACTGAGATCAGGCACTGTGATCAGGCCCAAACTGAAATCAGGCACCGAGATCAGGCACACTGAGATCAGAGATCATGCACACCAAGAACAGAGATCAGGCACACAGAGATCAGAGATCAGGCACTGAGATCAGGCCCACACTGAGATCAGGCACACTGAGATCAGGCCCACTGAGATCAGGCCCACACTGAGATCAGGCACTGAGATCAGGCCCACACTGAGATCAGGCCCACACTGAGATCAGGCTCACCGAGATCAGGCACACTGAGATCAGGCACACTGAGATCAGGCCCATTGAGATCAGGTCCACCGAGATCAGGCCCACTGAGATCAGGCCCACACTGAGATCAGGCACTGAGATCAGGCCCACTCTGAGATCAGGCACTGAGATCAGGCCCACACTGAGATCAGGCCCACACTGAGATCAGGCCCATTGAGATCAGGTCCACCTAGATCAGGCCCACTGAGATCAGGCCCACACTGAGATCAGGCACTGAGATCAGGCCCACACTGAGATCAGGCACTGAGATCAGACACTGAAGATCAGGCCCACACTGAGATCAGAGATCTGGCACAACAAGATCAGAGATACTGAGATCAGAGATCAGGCACACTGAGATCAGAAATCAGTCACTGAGATGAGGCACTGAGATGAGGCACTGAGATCAGGCCCACACTGAGATCGGGTACTGAGATCAGGTCCACTGAGATCAGGCACTGTGATCAGGCCCACACTGAAATCAGGCACCGAGATCAGGCACACCAAGAACAGAGATCAGGCACACTGAGATCAGAGATCAGGCACACAGAGATCAGAGATCAGGCACAACAAGAACAGAGATCAGGCACACCGAGATCAGAGATCAGGCACATTGAGATCAGAGATCAGGCACATTGAGATCAGAGATCAGGCACAACGAGATCAGAGATCAGGCACAACGAGATCAGAGATCAGGCACAACGAGATCAGAGATACTGAGATCAGAGATCAGGCATAACGAGATCAGAGATACTGAGATCAGAGATCAGGCACAACGAGATCAGAGATACTGAGATCAGAGATCTGGCACAACAAGATCAGAGATACTGAGATCAGAGATCAGGCACACAGAGATCAGAGATCAGGCACATTGAGATCAGGCACTGAGATCAGAGATCAGGCACTGAGATCAGGCCCACACTGAGATCAGGCACTGAGATCAGGCACTGAGATCAGGCACTGAGATCAGGCACACTGAGATCAGTGATCAGGCACTGAGATCAGGCACACTGAGATCAGGCACTGAGATCAAAGATCAGGCACACTGAGATCAGTGATCAGGCACACTGAGATCAGGCACACTGAGATCAGAAATCAGTCACTGAGATCAGGCACTGAGATGAGGCACTGAGATCAGGCACTGAAGATCAGGCTCACACTGAGATCAGGCCCACACTGGGATCAGTCCCACACTCAGATCAGGCACTGAGATCAAGCACACCAAGATCAGGCACTGAGATGGGACACACCAAGAACAGAGATCAGGCACACTGAGATCAGAAATCAGTCACTGAGATGAGGCACTGAGATGAGGCACTGAGATCAGGCCCACACTGTGATCGGGTACTCAGATCAGGTCCACTGAGATCAGGCACTGTGATCAGGCCCACACTGAAATCAGGCACCGAGATCAGGCACATTGACATCAGACACACTGAGATCAGAGATCAGGCACATTGAGATCAGAGATCAGGCACTGAGATCAGAGATCAGGCACAACGAGATCAGAGATACTGAGATCAGAGATCAGGCACAACGAGATCAGAGATACTGAGAACAGAGATCAGGCACATTGAGATCAGAGATCAGGCAGATTGAGATCAGAGATACTGAGATCAGAGATCAGGCACATTGAGATCAGAGATCAGGCAGATTGAGATCAGGCACTGAGATCAGGCACACTGGGATCAGGCACACTGAGATCAGGCACACTGAGATCAGGCACATAGAGATCAGGCACATTGAGATCAGGTACTGAGATCAGGCACTGAGATCAGGCACTGAGATCAGTGATCAGGCACTGAGATCAGGCACACTGAGATCAGAGATCAGGCACATTGAGATCAAAGATCAGGCACACTGAGATCAGAAATCAGTCACTGAGATCAGGCACTGAGATCAGGCACTGAGATCAGGCACTGAAGATCAGGCCCACACTGAGATCAGGCACTGAAGATCAGGCCCACACTGAGATCAGGCCCACACTGGGATCAGTCCCACACTCAGATCGGGCACTGAGATCAAGCACACCAAGATCAGGCATTGAGATGGGGCACACCAAGAACAGAGATCAGGCACACTGAGATCAGAAATCAGTCACTGAGATGAGGCACTGAGATGAGGCACTGAGATCAGGCCCACACTGAGATCGGGTACTGAGATCAGGTCCACTGAGATCCGACACTGTGATCAGGCCCACACTGAAATCAGGCACCGAGATCAGGCACACCAAGAACAGAGATCAGGCACACTGAGATCAGAGATCAGGCACACAGAGATCAGAGATCAGGCACAACAAGAACAGAGATCAGGCACACCGAGATCAGAGATCAGGCACATTGAGATCAGAGATCAGGCACATTGAGATCAGAGATCAGGCACAACGAGATCAGAGATCAGGCACAACGAGATCAGAGATCAGGCACAACGAGATCAGAGATACTGAGATCAGAGATCAGGCATAACGAGATCAGAGATACTGAGATCAGAGATCAGGCACAACGAGATCAGAGATACTGAGATCAGAGATCTGGCACAACAAGATCAGAGATACTGAGATCAGAGATCAGGCACACAGAGATCAGAGATCAGGCACATTGAGATCAGGCACTGAGATCAGAGATCAGGCACTGAGATCAGGCCCACACTGAGATCAGGCACTGAGATCAGGCACTGAGATCAGGCACTGAGATCAGGCACACTGAGATCAGTGATCAGGCACTGAGATCAGGCACACTGAGATCAGGCACTGAGATCAAAGATCAGGCACACTGAGATCAGTGATCAGGCACACTGAGATCAGGCACACTGAGATCAGAAATCAGTCACTGAGATCAGGCACTGAGATGAGGCACTGAGATCAGGCACTGAAGATCAGGCCCACACTGAGATCAGGCCCACACTGGGATCAGTCCCACACTCAGATCAGGCACTGAGATCAAGCACACCAAGATCAGGCACTGAGATGGGGCACACCAAGAACAGAGATCAGGCACACTGAGATCAGAAATCAGTCACTGAGATGAGGCACTGAGATGAGGCACTGAGATCAGGCCCACACTGTGATCGGGTACTCAGATCAGGTCCACTGAGATCAGGCACTGTGATCAGGCCCACACTGAAATCAGGCACCGAGATCAGGCACATTGACATCAGACACACTGAGATCAGAGATCAGGCACATTGAGATCAGAGATCAGGCACTGAGATCAGAGATCAGGCACAACGAGATCAGAGATACTGAGATCAGAGATCAGGCACAATGAGATCAGAGATACTGAGAACAGAGATCAGGCACATTGAGATCAGAGATCAGGCAGATTGAGATCAGAGATACTGAGATCAGAGATCAGGCACATTGAGATCAGAGATCAGGCAGATTGAGATCAGGCACTGAGATCAGGCACACTGGGATCAGGCACACTGAGATCAGGCACACTGAGATCAGGCACATAGAGATCAGGCGCATTGAGATCAGGTACTGAGATCAGGCACTGAGATCAGGCACTGAGATCAGTGATCAGGCACTGAGATCAGGCACTGAGATCAGTGATCAGGCACTGAGATCAGGCACACTGAGATCAGAGATCAGGCACATTGAGATCAAAGATCAGGCACACTGAGATCAGAAATCAGTCACTGAGATCAGGCACTGAGATCAGGCACTGAGATCAGGCACTGAAGATCAGGCCCACACTGAGATCAGGCACTGAAGATCAGGCCCACACTGAGATCAGGCCCACACTGGGATCAGTCCCACACTCAGATCGGGCACTGAGATCAAGCACACCAAGATCAGGCATTGAGATGGGGCACACCAAGAACAGAGATCAGGCACACTGAGATCAGAAATCAGTCACTGAGATGAGGCACTGAGATGAGGCACTGAGATCAGGCCCACACTGAGATCGGGTACTGAGATCAGGTCCACTGAGATCCGACACTGTGATCAGGCCCACACTGAAATCAGGCACCGAGATCAGGCACATTGACATCAGACACACTGAGATCAGAGATCAGGCACATTGAGATCAGAGATCAGGCACTAAGATCAGAGATCAGGCACAACGAGATCAGAGATACTGAGATCAGAGATCAGGCACAATGAGATCAGAGATACTGAGATCAGAGATCAGGCACAATGAGATCAGAGTTACTGAGATCAGAGATCAGGCACATTGAGATCAGAGATCAGGCAGATTGAGATCAG